AAAATATTTGATAGGTAGAAAAGAAAAGAAAAAAAGAAATAATCAAAGGCTGAAGAAGCAGAGCACCGGCATGAGGGTATTGTCTCTGAGAGAGAGAGAGGTAAAGTGTTTGGCGCGGGGGAAGAGAGAGAATATTAAAGTCACGCGCTTGTCAGCTTTAACTAACAACTGACAGGCTGGTTGATTGACACGTGTAATACCCTTTTTTAATTACGACACCCGAAAAAATCTCGGGGTATAAACTTTGTTTTTTTCTTTCCAGAAACGTCCCGTGATTTCGTTGGTATTCCAAGTAAGTCCCTAATAATACTTTGGTTTTGGAGTTCTGTCTCACGTTTTTTTTTTTTTGGGGTCAAATTTAAACGTTAAATTGCATTGAGATAATAGTTAACAGATCTAGTGACAGATAAAATTGAGTATCATTTTGATCGAATTATAAAAATGTTAAAAACAAAATAAAATAAATACGTAGGAAAACGTACTTATTTAAAACAAAATTATTAGTTTAAAATAAAGTTATTTGAAACGAAGTTATCAGTTTATACTTTATAATAACAACTAAACTGAAACGAAAAGAGTACTTAGTACTATTTAATTGGAAGCTGAAGAAATATTGAAAGAACAAAAAAAAATCTCAAAAAATTTAAAAGTAGTTAACTAACATTTAAATCTTTTAACTACCAGGGTGACCTTAATAATAGATTTGACCCTAACAAAACATCATGTACTAAGGGTCCAAAATGATTCATAAATGTTTATAACTGATTTTTTTTTTCTTTTTGCTAGTTTACAGTTGATGCCTAGCTAGGTGTTGTGATTCGAATGAACCAGCTAATAAGGTGTATGGTGTAAGTTAGGCAGTGTAAGGGCAGCAAACAAATTCCATAAATTCTCTAGTTTACATTCAAATGTTTCGTGTAACATAAATTTGCTTTATGATATACAAGTATATAACCGATTCAGAGCTGAATCTAAGATTTTTGGAACCCTATACGATAACTAACATTTTAATCTTTATAAAATTTACCTAAAAAATTTGAAGCTTTTTTGTGAATAGAACTGATTTTTTTTTTAAAAAGTCTTTTGGAAAAAGAGAAGTCATAAATGATTTTTTTTTTTTATCATATAATTATATTCCCTCCGTTTCAAAATGTAAGTTGTTTTGGAGGTTTTTTTTTGTTCAAAATATAAGTTGTTTTGACAATTTTAGGTAATTTTTAACTTTATTGAATATTGTGTGACCAATAATATTTTGCAGTCTTTTGTATGATTGATCAAATTATTTTTAATCAATATATTAAATTATACTTTTTAATAGAAAAATAGTTTATTAATATCTGATTTTTTAGCTAAAACAACTTATATTTTGAAACAGAGGGAGTTAAAATATTCTACACATAATGATTTAAAACCCACACAAATTTTTTTTGTTAAAATTTATTACTAAACTTTATTACTTTCCTTCTAATTTTATTTCCGA